CCCCCCCCCCCCCCCCCCCGGCTTTAGCTTTGTCCTTTTGATCTGAATTGTTATTTCAGAACAAGTGATGAAATGAGGAAGTCAAAGAATACAATTTGACCTGATGTGAAACACTTGTTGGTATAAAAGCAAGGAGTGTACCGTATCCACACCCTTGTTTGATCATTTTATCACAAGCTCGTGAGACACGAGTTCCCGGTACTGATAACAGTTTGTTGGCTGTTTTTGGAATATCTTATCACCCATTTGTGTCCCATCATGTCGACAGCTTGCACCGTAAAGCGGATCCGTTTCAGACAGAAAGACGGGGATACCGTGACACACAGACACATGCAGCTGCTGTAGTAAGGCTTGTGACTAGTTCATAGCTGTGAATAGACCGTTTGTTGCACAATGTCAGACTGCGATAGAGAGGGGAGGCTTTGTGAATGTTTGCAGCCTGGGATTCAGCATCGTTACGGTCATACTGGGAGCCAGAGGCCCATTCAGAAACGCTCCTTCCTGTCGTCGTGTGATGCTGCTACGGAGTGGTAACCAAGGCAGCAACAGGAACACCTACCACAACAATTAGTCGTACACCCGATCGTCCTGTGAGGAAACGGCAAGATGGATGATTTCGTTTCCAGCTCCATTTGAGACAATTTATTGGTAGATTGGAATGAAACCCACTGAAGCTGAACAGAGGAGGAGGAGGAGAGGATGATGCCAGACCTGGTTGGCAGTGAAGTCTTACTGGGCAGCCTTGGACCAGGGCTGTCACTGCTAATCCGGAGTGATGCTAGCCAGCTGCACACAGACTCGGCACAGAGGGGTACTAGCTATAGCTGCAGGAGGCTCTGCTAAGGCTGTGGAGGGCTGTTTCACAATGATCAGGGTCACCTTGCTGATGTGAAACCAGCATCTAGGCCATCTATATAGGCTTAAGAGGATTGTCATGTCCTCCTGCAATGTAGTCACTATATAAATCCCTGCAGACAATTTTTCAATGAAGCGCTAAGAACTAACATTTAAAAGCGGTTACCAGGTTGGCAACTTAGGCATCGGCTTTTGATTGCAGGTATTTAAAATATGATGGTCATTTTTAGTCACCTTTTATTTTCAGTATATAAAATACATTGCAGTTTATCTGTTGGCTTAATAATGATAATGTGACATTAAAGATTAAAATGAAACCAGCAAGTCTGGGGTTGCTTGTTCCTCCTTTCTCTCCCAATCCAAATATTAGCTTTCAGCCCAACTTGAGAGAAATATTAAATTGACCTTTAGTTTAATGGAGTTGGTGTGATGTCGTCTCTGAATAAATTAAACTAATTAATTAAACACATTTTAAGGGAGACGACGCATTGTCAGGTTCATGATACCTCAGCAGCCCAAAAATGATATAGTTTCATCAACAACAAACCAACATCACGCGTGGTCTGGTATCGGTTGTGATTGCAACAGCAATATTTAGATATCGGTAATGCATCAAATATTTATCTTTAGGTGCATGTTTTAAATGTTTTCTAGAAGATGTTTTTTTCTTAATAAATATGACATGCAGTTCACATAACTACAACAGGGACTGTTCCCCTCCAGACGGTGAAACGTTTGTCATTACTCTCATTCTTATAACAGTAGGAGTTGTTACTATTATCGACTTCAAGTCATTGATTTCAAATTAAAAAAGTCTAAATCAAAAGTTTAGCATGTCATAGAACTCGTGATGATTTATTTTCCCCTCTGTTTGGTGTTGTTTGCTGCCCTCCAGGCTGCGGCTCCATGAGGCGAAAGTGATCAAGGATCGGCGGCACCACCTGCGTACTTACCCAAACTGCTTTGTGGCCAAGGAGCTCATTGATTGGCTCATCGAACACAAGGAGGCCTCGGACCGAGACACGGCGATCAAGATCATACAGAAACTCTTAGACAAGAGCATCATTCACCACGGTAAAGCTGAGCTACTGTACGCGTGTGTGTGTGTGTGTGTGTGTGTGTGTGTACGTGTGCACAAAGTGTGTGGGCTTAGTCTTGTACAGTATCTACTTTTTTTTTGCTGTTTCCCTTTTGACCAAACATTGAAACGGAGACAAAAGAGTTGGCTGCCTCTTCCTTTTTAGTGGAAGTTTATACAGAGATAATTCAATATTAACTCATCCCAGCTGTACATAAATGATTTAACGATTTAAAGATTTCACTGACTGCTTTATACTAACATAGTAAAAGTTCCTATGTTCCCATTATGTGACACGCTTGCTTATGCTATATTGTGTTTCTTAATTGATCATTAACTACACCCAACATTCATTAGTCATAACCTCAAAACTAATCCCCCTGTGCATGCGTGTGTTTTCAGTGTGTGACGAGCACCGGGAGTTCAAAGACCTGAAGCTGTTTTACCGCTTCCGGAAAGATGACGGCACATTCCCGTTGGACAGTGAAGCCAAAGTCTTCATGAGGGGGCAGAGGATCTATGAGAAGTATGAACACGCTCAAACACAACCACTCAGCCGTAGAGGAGCTATGAGAGGGATTGAGGGAACATGGCCTTTCATACATTTGTGTAATGGAAATAGAAAGTCCCCGGGCATCTCTCTCTTTTTATTTTTCTTGCTGTGTTGGATTAGAAGATCACCCACCGCTCTTATATCTGTATGATACGTATGGCATTATAGCCAGCAGCTGTTTACGGTAGCTTAGCGTAGCATAAAGACTGGAAATGGGTGGAGTTATGTGTCCGAATATTTCTTGGCTGGGACCGTTTTTCAGGTGGAATTTGTAACTTTTTGACAAAGCAAAGCAATTTTACTGAGTGTATTAAGCTATATGGCGTACCTCCTCAAAGATGGTACTAGTAAAGTTGACGTGATGAACGGTGAACTATCACTTCACAATCTGGTGCTGTGGCCTTTTGGCAAGCAATAGCACATGCCATGCATGTATTTCCTGTCTTCCTCTTCATTTCTCTGCGAGAGCGTTCTCAACGGCATGATTTGAATGCGTCAGAAATGCTGCCACCATTAATGTTTGGAAAATTTGTTTTGCTGGTAAATTGGATTTCATTAGATTTCGAGGGCATCGTATTGACTGGTTGTTGACCGCAGTGGGAGGCTTCAGGGATTGGAAAATCAAGACATTGGAAACATCTTAACTCGTAGCATTTGTCCAGAGATGGGCTGGATTTAGAGGCCAGAGGACACCACTAATGATGCTGTTTGTTTGTCAGCTTTCTACCCATGATGCTAGTGTTCCAATACTGATGAGACTAATTGTTTCTATAGTAACCCCAAAGTCTTCCTCTGTGTCTCTCCACTCCTCTCAGTGGCATCTCTACAGTTTAGGATTCACGCTAACACCCTCTTTGCATTAACACACACACACTCAATGTCTTTTTTTTTGTACTACACACACACACACACACACACACACACACACACACACGCACACACACACAGCTTGACTCTCCTTCCCTGTCCTATGCATCCTGCCCCCTCTTTGTCCCATGAGTAAACAATATTTCTATGCCTCTCTTAACGCATACACAGCAACACGCTTATAAACAGAGACCTATTTTTCATGTTTTTTTTAACCACATGCACATTCATGTGCACACGCACATTCATGTGCACACGCTCTCTCTCAAACATGCACACACACACACACACAGACAGAGCAGTTGCATAAGAGGAAGAAATAGTCTAAGGGTAGACATCTGCCGTTGCAGCTCTCAAAGCTATGTGTTTATGTAATCACCATGGTGCAGCCGAGGAGAGACACACACACACACACACGCACACACCTCCGCTGTGGTGGTTGCTTCCTTGCAAACTAGAGTTGCTGCATGATTACATTTATTGCAAAGGTAACAAACCAACCATCTCCCAGAGGTCAAATATATGATTTGGTTCTTTGGTGAGAGGATTGCAAACATTCAACTTAATCTCAGTATTTCTAAACGAGATCTTAGATTGATCGTCTTAAACAGAAATTTGAATTCATAAACCGATAAGCTTTTCTTATCCGTGCTAGCGGAGTGGTTCAGGGGATGTTAATGTAGGTCGCTCCTCCACTTTGGTCCAGACTGAAATATCTCAACAGTTATAAGATTAATTTGCATGAAATGTGGTACACACATTCATGTCTCTCTCAGGATGAATGTGATAACTTTAGCGATCCCCTGACATTTCTTCTAACGCCATCATCAGGTGTTTATTCGTTCAGTACATTTGTTCTGACTAAATACCTGCAAAGCAAATAACAATCTGTTTTCAGTGATAATTAGCAAATGTTAGCATGCTAACACGCATGTAAACTGTATGTTCAACAAGGACCCTTGCAGCCTAATTCACATCTAGTTTTTCCATTGGAAAAATAAACAGCGCTCTGCAAACACACTTTGATCTCTGGTGCTGTCAAATCAGCATACGCACACCAATAAACAAAAAAAACGCAGGAAGACATTTCAAACCGTTGTCTAGACAGCATTTCCTAGGCGACAGGCTTACTCGGAGAGCACAATGTTTAACAGGCCTTCTTAAAACATTGTTCACTAGTTGGACTGTTTACTTGTGAATGTGTACACTAGATTGTGGTTGAATGGCAACAATATAAAAGAGCTAGTCATGCTCATATTGAACTATTAAATGAAACAAATTGCCTTTTGAATAAATGAACCAAAACACTTGAATCTAACCTTCATTTACGTGGAGTAGATTCACTGAGCATCGATGGCCCGCTTCTTGTGCACACACATTCACACCCGCAGCAGAGGATCCTCACTGGGAAAGAGTCAGACAATGCTGCTTATCGGCTCCGTGTGTCTTTTTCAAGGCTACGAAACAACTCAGTTTAGACTCTGTCTCTCATTGCCCAGGCACCACAGTCCCATTTGTTCCCGCAACTGAACAATTGGTCAGTTTTTCTTCTCGTACTATATTTAGTTTTTGGGACTATTGTTTTTGCAATATACTCTATTATATTTTAGGGAAAAAAGGAGTCCCATGTGCCCAATGTCTTATTTTTCTCTTGATCTAAAACTTGGTGAAGTTGTGCTGTTATATACATGCCAAAAGTACCTCCGTACCAGATTTTATGACTTTTAGACCAATCGGACCAAATGTTGTGGCATTTTGTATTTGGACCCATTTGGCACATTAACTGCGAATTGCATACACTACACCACCTTACATGTGGCCGTTTCCAGCATTACAGACATCCTGCACATGCTTTTACTTCCTGTCAGGTACAAACATGCATGCTGCTTAATAAAGAGAGGGCAACACAACCACTAACTTCCAAACATACCACTCGTTCATCGTGCGTTCAACCAATATAAAGTAAGAAGACGTCCGTGTCACTGTTCGGCTAAGTTACGACTGATAATGGCTGGTTAATTACATCAGCTGCTGTCTGCTTGAGAGTAGATCCTAACGTTTCCACATGACTTACTGATAACTGGTAGAATGTCTTAGGCTATTACAATAAATCGAAGTTATTAGCCAAGGAAGTTTTACCATAAAGGTATTTGAACATTTCGTGTTTTAACTTAACTAGGCTAGATTAGTTTGAAGTAATGCTAATCTCTACCGAGAGTCCCGAAAAGTACATTAAGCAACGTTATCTTTTATTTGTTGTTCCATGAGGTCGCTGTTAGGAGCCTTTGGACACTGCAACCGAGATTAAGAGCTGTGGAAATAAAACCGCTTTGACATTAGAAAGTGATGTCATTGAAGGTTCAGAACTGGTTTTATTTACAGCACAAGTTGTGCTGTCAAGTTACCACAGTGCAGCTAAAATGGGGTCATGAAGTGTGACAATGTGCTCGCATAAACATTCTGAGAGGTTGGCCATGTAGGAAACGGCAACAAATGCAGCCTCTATTTTCTAATCATGGGTTCTGAATGAGGTATAGCATTGTTTTTTTTGTATTTTCCCAAAATACTGCAATAACTACCAGAGCAAATTGAACTAAACAAGGGAAAAAAAAATATTTTTAAAAATCTAACTTGGCGATAGAAAGTGACAATAGAAGCACAAACGTTGCTTTTTAAAGTAATAATGCTGAATAATACTGAGCTGTCGGCCTCTCTTTTTAAGCAAATGCAACAAAATAGAGTTAAAAGGAGGAGGCCATGACACCTTGATTACTTCCACTTTTGCTCTCTTCAGAAATAAACTACATTTAGAAATGACTTAGGTCCAGCATTAAATAATTAAAGGTAAGGCCTGGAAAAGAAAAAAACACATTTTGCTTCCTCCAAATCATCCTCCAGGTCAGATGATTCTCGGTCTGTTTTTATTATTCATTGTTTATTCGTTTATTTTTAAAACGTTGGCCTGCCTGTGACTTGCTTACTCTATTTTGCTCTCACATCACATGTCCCTTAAATGACCCTCAAAGTGGTATTTCTGCTTTTAAAAGTTGTTGCATGGCCCAAGAGAGTCATCAGGGACCCTCTTTAATGACCAAATCTGAGAGCAGGTAAAAGGCTGGTGGTCCTACAAACGCGTCTCAGTGGGCATTACTCCAGCTGAGTCAGGTATGCTGACTGAACAACTACGCTGAGTGCGTATCCAGGTCACGGCAGCTCGCCTCGTCCCACTTTAAGTTATCATGAACCATTTGCATGCTGTATGTACAGTCTCACGTCTTTCCCTATATAGCACTCAGGATGCTACCATTCAAAGCACTGTGCTCACTTTGAGTACAGTGCTTTGAGTCAATCCCTTAAAGCTAACATTACATGATCTATTGACTTAACATGTTTAAATAGATTAAATGGCGTTATGTACACAGCCACACCTCATGGAACATGTCCAGTTATTTCAACGTTTGTATTATGATGTTGTCTTCTCATGTGGGCCCACCAAAGCTCCTAATCATCAAAGTTTCACACGAATGTATTCTGTCGTGTGTTGACTTTACATGAGTGAAGGACTGAAGCAGTCATTTTTCTTTCCTGCAGTTCTATTTTTAACTTAACCCGAGGTTGAACTTTGATGAATACAGTGTCACCTAATTCATCCCTTTAAATGGGGGCCTACAGCTCTGATCATAAGTCATAGTTGAATGAACGTCACTGGGACGATGGGCGCCTCCTAGCAGAAAGGATGCTTTTTCACAAGCTGCACCTGATTTAGGTTTCATTTAGTTTAATTTCACATATCCTCATTTAGCTTCATTAAAGGGGAAGCTGTTTTTCCTGGGCTCGAGAGGTTTTGCAACTAATCCCATAAGATGTTAAATTGTCTCCCATGAACAATAGACGTGCTGATGGCTTGTCAATGCCAGACAGAAATACGCTTATTTGCTTTCTTGCCAAGAGTTGGATGAGAAGATCAATGCCACTGTCGGGTCTGTACAGTAAATATGTAGCTCGAGCCAGCAGCTGGTTAGCTTAGCTTAGCATAAAGACTGAAAATGCTGGAAACAGCTAAGTTGGCGCTGTCCAACGGTAACAGAATCCGCTTATCAGCACCTCTAAAGCTAACTTACAACAACCGTACAGATAGGCGGGCACCACTGGTTCCTGTCTCCAGTTTGGGCTGGTCTAAGTAGATCAGTGGTTGTCAACGATTCCTATCCCGGAGCCGTAAGCCTTTGGTTATAGAGGGCTGCAGGGATGATGTATTTTTGTAGGCCTTTTAGTAGGATACTTGCACATTTTGTTCTGCAAGATACCCAATGGTAAAAAGCTAATGTTAGGCTGTAAATGAACTACACCACGTGCACATGAGCTTGTTTGAACGAGGCTGTGATAACGTTTTCTAGTCTCATTCAGACACTTTTTAAGACACGTAAAAGCTTCAAAAGTCACGAGAGGGGTATTTACTGACGAACAAAACTTCTCACAGATCTTATCTCAGGCCTCTAACCAGAAACCCATTAAAAAAGCATAGACTATGAGATGAGGGGATTAGAAGTGCAAAAATGCTGTCTCATGTAGCCTACAGGTTTTAGGACTCATTCCTGCAGCACTCCATAGGACGGTGGTGCAAATATTCAGTGTGTTTCTCTGATTGTTGAGTCGACTGTTTAGTAATTGATTGATAGCCAATTAAACAGAATGTGGGAATGCAATTTGTGCCAGCAAAACACTGCCAACAAGGATGTGGCAAGTTTAGTGTTTCTGTCTCTTTGACGGTAAACTTAGTTGCAAGCACATGTTTTGACATGTACAGGTGTGTCACAGAAAGCTTATCGTTTCTTGTAACCACTGCCTAGCTGATTTATGCTGTGTGAATGTTCAGATGACAGCGTTTGGGTGTGAGAGATGGGTGTGAATGTGTGTTTATCAGGGGAGAGTCAGCTACTCTTCTCTGTGCATGTGTGTACTTGTCTGACTTTGATTGTTTGAGTGTCATCCGGAAGAGATAACACCACCCGCTTCATGTAATCCTATTAAGAATTACACACATTTATAAACAAAATGACTGTTTTAAGATTCTATGTGGCTGAAGTGCTGATCCAGAGACAGTTGCAGTGTTTGTGCGTTTGACTGTGCAGGTTACAGAGTGGAGAGAAGGGGTAGAGCTGCTGGTTTGGACGATTTTCCCTGCTGAAAATTAGCTATTTTACTCCCTGTAACCCTTAGTTTTGCTGAACACTGAACGCATCTCTTGGGTAATTAAATAGTGCTTTAGGGTCAAATTATGTCCAATGATTGTAAATGTTGCACCATTTCTGAGAACTCGCATTTCGTCCCATTAGATGAGTATGTGCTGTGTGTAGCACTGCTAAAGTACATGAGCCCAGCCAGATGTAGCTATGGAGACATCCACCAGAGCTGCAAAATAAATTTTGAAACATAATCACATTTATTTTCCTGATACAGTCAAGAGTACTTTACTTCATAGGGATGCACTGACCTGACTTTTTCTGTCCCAATCGTGATACCTGGGCTTTGGATACTAAGTACTGATCCGATGCCAGTGTTTAATTGATAAGCTGATTGTCTCACTGTGTGGATGTGAATGGGATCATTCTTTTAAGCAACACCAGGCTTGACTTAAACGTTGCTTCCCAACTTTGTAAAACATAATGTAATAATGCATAGATATAAATGTACTACATTTTTTTTATTTATTAAAATAATGGTATTCGATACCAGATTGGCCCATTGTCACTGATACCCAATCCAGCTGTTTGAGTCAGTATCGGACCAATATCTGTATCAATGCATCTCTATTACTTTAGGTGCTACTTTGATGGTTTGGTTCACAGTTCCCATGAAGCTAAACCTCTGACTTCAAACTGTCTGAGTGTAGTGGGTCACACATTTTTAGCTTCGTGTATGGATCGGATTAGATCGCCTTTTGAATGCAACGATCTCCTCCGTCACACTCTTTGACTTCATAACCAATTAAACTTTGCTTTCTTCTCTCCACAGGCTGATGAACACAGAAAACACCTTGTTACAAACCAGAGAGGAGGAGAACGGGACATTTGAGCGGGCGCTGGTGGCCGCTGAGTTCATCGACTGGCTGCTACAGGAGGGCGAGATGGCAACCAGGGAGGAGGCAGGGCAGCTGGGACGGAGGCTTCTCGAACATGGCATCATCCAGCATGGTGAGGAAGACAGGGAAACTGTTCTTTTATGTACTGGGAACTATTTGAACGGCTCGCAGTTCCAAGCAACACCTGTATCATTCAATTAGTGTGTACAGTGTTTAATTTAATGTCAAGTCTTTCAACATTATATTACTTCCTTCAACTGAGTGTCACACAGTCTGAGTGCAGTATTGACAGATTAATTATCTGTGAATGGTACTTCATGTAGTCACGTCTCTCCTCTGCATGATCCTGTGAAACAGCTCAGCTAGTACTTCATGGTGACACATTTCTGCTGTCCGGACTCCTATACTTGTACTGACTCATAGTGTGATTACTGCCCTATCTGCACACTTAAACACTTTTGACTCTTGGAAAAAAATGTCCTTTACAAAGTCAAGTGCAGTTGAATCTGAGCATGCAGCAGTTTTTAACACAGGACGACGATTTGCCCATTTAAGCATCATATATGTCTAGAAAGTACTAACCTGGATTACAGTTGTGCCTTTCTTTTAAAAATATTTTATGAAAAGACTTCTTACACCGACGTTCTGAACTGACCCACATTATATGTCGCGCTGGCTGATTATTATGGGATTATATTTCACTAGTCTCTTAAGGTACATCCTCAACTCTCTTATTCGTCATTTTCCTCGCTCATCGATCCTCGAACCGGAAATTGTTCTGCGCCGCCATATTGACGGCCGTACCAAAGCTCTTATTTCTGCTCTGAGGAGAGAGCAGCGAGGAGGAATCTCTGAGGAGCCATGAGCGGGGATGCCCAAGAGCAGCCTTACAGGAAATGTTTTAGCGGCTGCGTGTCAGCCGCTAAAACATTTCCTGTTCATCAGTTATGTGATTGGACGCTGCAGCTGATTGGACTGATCTGATGTTTCTCAACATCACTGAAGTTTCATACCAGACTGAAGACGGATCAGAGATTAAACTCAAGTTTTATATTTCATCTATTTTCTGATTCACCATCTGGTTAAGAATATAGCATGTTAATTGAAGGTCTGAACAACAAAAGGACCACAAACCACTTTCTTTGATTATTAGAAAGATTTGTCTTTTCATCATCTGTTATTTCCCTCAATAACTTTTATTATGGATACAATTAAAGACAGAGAGAGACACCTTTTACATAATTTATTGTCATTTTCATTCAGTCACGTGAGGCTGATCATTCCTGAGTGTCTGGTTTGATGAGTCGTATCATTTCAATTTCCCCCAAAACATTGAGCCTAATAAATTCATTCCAGTGTTCAAATGACGCCATAATCATACTCCGGGTTATTTAATAATGACGTCACAATCAGAATGTCAAAACATGCAGACGCCAATAATTAATAAATATGACAAACGCATTCTGCCAGTAGAATCGGTCCTGCACTGATGAGCAGGACACAGAACACAGTATAAATACACCGTCCACGATGAGTTGAGTTACTCAATGTTACCGAGTGATATACGCAAGGAAATGTGAGCTGAATGTCACAGGCATCAGGAGGTCAACAAGTTGGACTAACTGTGGGGCTATCATGTAATCTACGAATATGTGATTTAAGTTTTATGTGATTTGTTCAGCTCGATAGTCTTAGCAGTGGAGGAAGAGATACTCTGGCCACAAGTGAAAATACTAATACCACTATGTAAAAAATATTAATTTTAATATACTGTAAGATAATCGAGGTTGAGCTAATTTTACATTTTTTATAAAGGATCTTTTACAATGTCAATATTAATCACATTTTATAAGCTGATCATTTAAAGGTTACTTGTACACGAGAAAGAGACAGAGATACAAGGACAGTTCAGTTTACTCAGTTTTCAGGCAGGGTTAAAACCGGGAGATCAGTCACTCGGGCAAACAAATCCAAAAAGGGGCAGGCAGGGTCGGAACAGGCAGATCAGATGCAGAAACTAGAATACCGCTGGAGAGGTTGGCAGTAACACACAAGACATTCTGCCAGGGATCAAGTGCAAGTGGATGGATGTAAATAGTGAGGGACTAAAAACAGAATGTGCTGCAGGTGAGATGGGCGTGGAAGACGAGGTGAGGGCAATGAGTGATTTCATGGTGTGTGTGTGTGTGTGTGTGGAAGGACCTGAAAACAGGCAGAAGTAGTGGAATTTGTGACGGATATGTTCTGGATATTACATTGCATCCATTAGCAAACGGCACAATGTCAAAAATGTAAAACAAAAAATGCTCTACTACAGCAGCCAGTGAACTATGAATGTGTAAAATTATGTAGTATCAGATAAATGTAGTGAAGTAAAAAGTCCACTGTTCTCATCTCAAATGTAGAAGAAATATAAAGTTGCAAAACATGGACATACTTAAGTAAAGTACTTTAAACTCTCCAGCACTGAGATTTAGTTCCAGAATGAAAACAGAAACATCTTTTAATAACAACTTGAATACAAGCAACAAGAGGCATTTCTATTGATATATTTTATTTTTCACAAAGTTAGTGTTTAATCAACTTCAAACATTAAAATCAAACAAAAATGCTTTGTGTGTAATCAAACATGTTGCTCCCAGGTGTGAATACGTGCTACAGCAGGTTAAACCAGGCCAGTTAAAGGCATAATTATTTGAATGCTTATCAGTTGAATGTTATCAGTACTCCAGTACAGGCCATAACATTGTTGATGTCTTCTCCCTGATAAGGAGCCTGATTAGCGTCTTGCTGGCCTCGTAGTGTCATCCTCCCTGTGGAAATAACTGCTCCACTAGTGGATGATATGCAGACTTTGCACTGTTTCATATCCTCATACGCCCTGTAGTTACAGTAGATGGTTATTTAAAATGATCTATCTGTAGTGATAATGTTCCCATTAGAAACACATTAACATGTTTGAGAAGTAGAGATATAGACTATCTAATCTGCTTTCCTAGACGCTCTGCTGGGCAGAGGTCATACTCGCACATTCATTCATTCACATTCAGGCAAGTGTGGATGGATCCACGTTGTGTTGGGTCATCATTGTTTTCTGAGGGACAATGTGGTAGCTGTGTTTCTACACTATACTTCTGACCAGCTGATATTAGGCAGGAGGTAGCTTTAAAACAGGCCTTAAAGTAAAATGTGCCGATAATGTAAGTAAATGCATCACATGACTTAGTAGAGTAGATCTATTGCTCTGCTAAACACAGTCAGCCAATAGTACGCTGTCATCATACTGGGCAAGGTGTTATGACGTACATCTTATATTGACAGAATTTCCTCCTAAATCAGTTTAAACCAGCACGAGAAGAATTAGAAAACTAGCAAAGAGAAAGTAGCATTTCAGTGTTGCATTAGTTCAGTCCTTTATTGTGGTGAGGAGAGTAAAACTCTCCCCTAAAGGGTGTTCACTAGTGTGTGTCTTTCTTTGTCCCATATAATAAAAGGATTTTGTTAGGTTGACAATAGCTTCACAACCACAAAAGGAAATGTGGACTAACCACGAGCTCAGTGTGTGTTTTTGTTGTACTGTCGGCTGTTAAACGATAACTAAAGGGCTTCACTGTATAAACACACTGGATTAGCATTTGACAGACAATAACTGACGGTCACTGATGTTGGAGGGGTGGACGAAGGGCATGTGAATATCAACCATGTTCAAATGTGTACCTTCTATTGCTATGTACACGTATTCCATTATCGAATATGTGTACATAATGAATAAATAAGAGAATTTATGAATTAAATCAAACTACATGAAATATTTGTAATGGGTTTGAATCGTCATTCGTGCTTACTAGTGCAACATGATCTATTTAAACCATGGAAATCATTTCATTGAGGCTTCAGCAAGAGAGTCAGGGCCGTGTTTGGTCTTTGAAACTCTAAATCCTCATGAAGGAGGTTGGGTAAGAAGAACTGCGGCTATAGAGGGCAAATGAAAATAAACCGGTTTGAATACAGTTCAAGGTTTTACTTGTCGAACAAAGGCTATTGACCTACAGTCTCTACGCAGGTATCTGATGAATGTAGGTGTGTGGTTCATTGACCTGCATTTCCTGTGATTCATTGTAGTACTTTTCCATTATAATTTTGAAAACCAAGACTTATATCGATATCAAAATCTAAAAGGGAGGTTCATAACAACCTTAAATAGAGACAATACATTTAAAAAAGGTAAATACAATTTAATTAAATTGTTTTATTTATCTGGGCTGTTAACTGTGTATCTTAATCTTAATCTTTTGTCTTCCATTTTTCCAAAATTCTATCTGAGGATCTCTGAATTCATAAAATACTTTTCTATTATTAAAACAAAGCTAACGGTAAAATAAAAGCTGGTGATGGTGGACCGACAGTTACACGTGATCTGCTTGGTCCAGCTGGTCTTGTCAGCTCAGCTGTGGAGGCGGAGGGCGACGCTCTCTAAGGTTACGTTATGTTTGTTCAGCACAGGTGATGTGAGCTCAGTGGTCAGTTTGTTTAGCGCTGCTCAGTTGAGTTCAGAGTTTCAGCAGAATCTGTGAGGGTTTTTTTTTTTAAGCCAAGCTGATCATTGGAAATAAATATGACATATTCCCTTTAGTTATTCAAATCATTTTACGTTGGAGTCTGACTACCATTTTGCAGAGAAACCCTGTTCATGTCTGAGTGGTGGTAATTAGTCCATTTCCTCATGCCTCACTCTGCCTTCTTCATACTTTATTCTTAAGAAGACATTTCTGTTGCTGAGAGAACCGCAGACGAGATTTAGTTTTTCAGATCAGACATCGGTGAATATCCATCATGATGAAGTGTCGAAAGCCTTTCATGCTTTCAACATTGTCTTATTTCTCCCTCTCTCTTCCTCTGAAACAAAGCTCATTTATTCTCTCCGTGTCCATTTTTCCTTGTCACCAGTAACCTACAAGCACCACTTTGTCGACGGGCCCCTCCTCTACCAGTTCAGGATGAATTTCCGGCGTCGACGGCGGCTGATCGAACTCCTTCACGAGCGCAGCCGCAGCATCCCAGAGAGTCACGACAGTCCCTTCTGTCTCCGCAAACAGAACTCAGATGGAGGCAACACCAGCTTCCTCTCAGGTACAAACTGAACCATTTACCATTTCTTACCATTTGTGTCTAATAGTATGCCAGCTATTAGTAGTGGTCAGAACATGAGGTTACCTGTTCTTCAATTAAAACCTGACGGAAAACTTAAAATTTATTCATAAGTGTTTTTTCTTTATTCTCACTGTAAAATTTCAATATTACCCTCAGTTATTGGATTCAGTCTTCTGGGGGAAAAACACAGGGACAGGTTAACGCCTATTGCGTTATCTTCTGTTGACACACACACACACACACAAACACAATGACTGGTGTCCTTGGTTGTATCCATCATATAAAGATAACACCGTAGAGGTATTTGTGTTGCCAGGCTGAAGAACATGGTAAAGTGTTGAGTCCTGTTGTGCGATCACACTGTCAAGTTTACTTTCCCTAAATGGGACTCACAATTTTCACAAAGATATTTACGTGAATGTAAAATGATTGGACAAGTGCTGCTCAGCAGCAAAGTTTAGCTGCTCAGCTGTAAATCTAAAAGAAACAGAGTCCAGTTCTCTATCTTAAGCAAACTCTGGTACCAGATGGACTGGGTTTAGAGCTGTGCTTGAAGCATCTTTATCTTAATAACTACTACTGGAGATTCTCCATTAAAACCTTGTCTCATCACTTACTCAATGCTAGTTCCTCTGGGGAACATGCACTTTAATTAGCAAACTATGGTAGAGATAGTTTAACCTACTCTTTTCAAACATATGTGCTAGTTTGAACTAATTGAGGGGGATTAGATGAGGGATTTGCCTTGAGAATATAAATATTGATGAAGTAAAAGGCTCTTATGTAAACACAGCTGGGGTTGCTACTCTTCATGCTGTTGACTGACCTGCAGGTAGAAAGAAAGAAAGATCCAGCTTCATAGCTTTGTCCTGTCTGTCGGTGGTCTCACAGCTCTCTTTGTCGCTCTCTGTCTCAGTGAGTCCCACTAAAGAGATTAAGGTGGTGGTCGGAGTTCGGCGGAGCAGCATGAGCAGCAGCTGTAGCAGCAGCGGTTATTACAGCAGCAGTCCTACGCTCGGCAGCAGTCCACCTGTCCTTTGCAACCCCAAGTCTGGTGAGACAACATGGACACACACACACATAGAGTCCAGTCTATGAAGGGCCTCACTCTTCATCTCTTAACAACAAATACTAGATGTTATGTTTCAGCTTTTATAAACTTAGTTTTCAATTGGTTCTTTATTATCAGGGTTTGTTACAGTCATGATAAACCTGGAAGAGCCATGCATTTTGATAATATCAAACTCCAGGCCTGGACCCTTTGACGATACTTAGTTCTCTGCGTGGGGGAACGTCAGACTGTGACCTTTTACTCTTGTTTTTCATGTATACACAGATGTTTCAGAGAATGTATGGTCAAAAAGAAAGGCCTGGAAAAGTCATGGAAAAAGTATTGTTGTGTGTATGACATCAGCGATAGACAAAGCCAACCTCAAGTCGTGTTCCTGGTTTTCACCCAATGCATGCAGATCAGCTGCATCCATCTCCTAATGAATGTGAATACATTGGTATGGAAGGGGAAAGGTTTTGTGTTCACAGACAGATTAATAGCTCCTAGTTGAAGCCTGCTAATGTTAACGTATCGATTAAATGTGTTATGAAGACATTAATTCCTGATGTGATTTATTGAAAAAGATTCACCTAAAAATTTCATTGTTTCTTGTAAGTACAAAAAGAAGTTGTACCCAAAATTACTTAACCCCCTCCTGCCAATCAATACAAGCAAACTTCACCTTTTTTTTTTAGTGGACTTAGAAGGAAATATAGAAGCTTTGAAGAAGAGAGAGGCTAACTTCAGAGGAAGATCAATATGTGCTGCTTGTAGCAAGTGATAATCAATGGTGTGTGTGTCTGTGTGTGTTTTCTACTCTGTGTCTTTACTACTGTGAGGTTTCCTTTGATGTGTCTAATCCAAGCAGAGTCCTTGACAGAGTTTCCTTGTAGCACCAGAGCCCCCTCGACATGAGCACTCACACACGCCGTGCACAATGGACAGGAAAAGGAAGGCACACACACACACACAAAAAATCCCCTTCTGCCTCAAATAAACCTTAATAATTATGCGCATCACACTGTGGGAAGATAAAGAGTCCAAAAACATAAAACATTCACAGTATGTTGTACAAAAGCTCTGCTATTCATTTATGAAGGCAGACGGATAAAAAGAGATGAGGCATTAAAGAGAGGTTGTCCTGTAGATTTAATCAGATCAGGATTTCCACAGAGAGATTATGGAAATGTCCAGATGAAGAGGATAAAAGAAGTCTCTCACTTCACTCCCTCAGTTTCATCAGATTAGACTAGATGAGAAGTACTACACAGACTGCAAGAGACCCACAGTAAAGTGTCTGTCTTCATTCATTCATCTGATCTTCAGGGATATGTCAATCATTAAACCCCAGAAAGATGACCAGTAATTACTTAAAGTGCCCCGCTTTAAGGATTGCTAATGAACAGAACATAAACACAGAGCTTTAACAATACTGAAGAAACAGAAACGGACCAAATGCCAAGAATATATAACTTAAGCAGTTAATTAGAAGTTCACACATGCACACAGTGACAATGGCTAAAAAAACATTGAAATATTGTCGTTTATATGATCCCACTTGTTTCAGATGCATATTCTCAGCTTACATTTGTCTTTAATGTGACCAGTTTATGTGGTAATTATTGTGTGCGTGGGGGACTCTCATTCATACTAATGAAATGAATATAACATTTAATTTAAATATTTTTTGAGACGCAAAAGTCCAGTTAAATCCGGTTTAGAGTCATGTTGAATTGAGCAATAGTTAGGGGAAGTTGGATCAAGGGAAGGGAGCTATAATATTTCAGGAAGCAGTGAGCCTCCAGGCCCCGTTAGCATGTGACTAACAGCACTTTCGACACACTTGTTAGACAACAATATTATGTCTGTGTTCTTCAGTGTGTGTGTGTGTGTGTGTGTGTGTGTGTGTGTGTGTGTGTGTGTGTGTGTGTTTGCATGTCCATGCCTATTTGGGTATGTATGCACATGTATTTGGCTCTGCCTGATTGTCACGCTAGTAAGTAATATTTTGTGTTTTTTTTTTTTTCAACAGTTCTGAAAAGACAAGTGAGTCCAGAGGAGCTGCAGACACCAGGAGGACTTTTCGTTAAGAAGACAGTCACTGTAGGACTCTCTCTCTCTCTCTCTCTCTCTCTCTCACACTCACACACACACACACACACACACACACACGACAGCGCTCTAACAAAGACTACTTCAGCATGGATGTAGTCACGCGTACTCACACATTCCCTCTCTCACACACACACTACAGGCCGGGCCTTCAGGTCATGTGGATATGCAGGAAGCTCCGGCACGTGTCTCAGATCAATTTGGGTATCGTACTTGAATAATACTGAAAGTCGAATAATACTAGGGACATGGTTTCACAGTGTCGATGTTTTGTTCTTCACCTTTTGGGAACAGTTTATGATGGAGAGAATCTAACCACAAAGGTCCACCTACTAGCTACAACCACACTTAAATACAAACAGTGTGCCGACTCATGTCATCATTCCGTGTCTTCTCGCTGTTCCTCAGATTGTAGGTGATGCTGTGGGCTGGGGCTTTGTGGTGCGAGGCAGCAAACCCTGTCACATCCAGGCTGTGGACCCTGGTGGACCTGCAGCAGCTGCTGGCATGAAGGTAAGGACAGGAGCGATGTATGGAGTCCTGAAAGCACTGTGAGCACCAGAGGACTTCCGCCATCTCTTCACGCATTAGGTACCGGTGTGAAGAACGAAAGGAGGGTCGATGTTACCGTGTGTAGCGTATATAATGTATTCTGGAGCTTGAAGGTTAGATGAGGAAGTTGTGGTTTTGTTTTACGTGTCTGTGGGACCACAATGTAATATGAGGAAGCCCCTGTTATGTCTGAGATTGAAAATCCTTCGATACTTGAGATGCATCTCCTGTGCTTGGCCACTTAGTTGTTGTGACAATACTTGTATGAACAGTGGTTTGTTAAGTTTGTACTAAAATACATATTTACATTTAAGTGCAGACGGTGAGATAAGTGTTACACAAGAATGACAGAGGAATAGAAAGAGTACAAGGGCTCATCCTGTAATGAGGATGACGGTCGGGACAGGAGCAGAGAGGAGCTGTAAGAGCAGGATAAGTGTTGAGGGAGGAAAACAGTCATGAAGAGGGTAAACAGGGTGATGTTGGCTCTGCTGCCGCAGCTGGCATGGAGGTATGTAAGCAGAGTGGCAGCAAGGAATCCTGGGAATGCAAAGCGACTTAAACCACAACATGGAGAGAGGAGGAGGGAGCAAGGACTGAATTTAAAAAAAAAAAAAAAAAAAAAAAAAAAAGCAGCAGGAGCCAGAAAGAGTAGCAGAGACAGGGGAGTAAACATGAAGTTATTCAGCGCATAAACTATTGGTTGTGTTTTAAAAAGTCTGCATTTGAATAATTGATAAATCATTACCATGTCCAGTGGACACTTGAAATGATGAAGGGAACATTAAAGTGTTTCCTCGGGCTTAGAGTTTTCAATTCTATTCAATTCCATTTATTTTGTACAGCCTCAGAAGGCTTTACAGTCTGTACACATACAACTTCCTCTGTCCCTGGACCCTCACATTGGTACAAGAAAAACTAATGATATTAAAAGCGGTAATGGTAACAGTAATGTGACTAATAATGATAGTAGCAGCAGTGGGTGTCAGCAGGACCACAACAGGAAGGAAACCTGTGAGGCGAAAAAGCACAAAGACTCGGGGGAGAAGCAAAGTTAGTAAAGTGCATTAATGAGACATGAATTCATACAGAAGGAGAGAGAGAGGAGAGGAGCTCAGTGTATTCTAGGAGGTAGTCTCCCGGCAGTCTAGGCCTATCTATAGCAGCATATCTAGGGGCTGGTCCAAGGCAACCCTGAGTCAGTACTAACTATCAGCGTTATCAAAAAGGAAAGTCTTAAGCCTACTCTTAAATGTGGTGAGGATGTCTGCCTCCCGGACTGAAGCTGGTTCCACAGAAGAGGAGCTTGATAACTGAAGGCTCTGGCTCCCATCCTACTTTATGAGACTCTCGGAACCACAAGTAACCCCGCATTGTGGGAGCGCAGCTCTCTAGTGGGGTAACGGGGTACAATGAGCTCTTTAAGATATGATGGTGCCTGGCCAACTAGCACTTTGTAGGTGAGGAGCAGGATTTTAAATTAAATATGCGAGTTTACATTGAGCCAGTGCAGAGAAGCTAATACAGGAGTAAATCTGCCAAGTGTCCAACATTTCAGTGTTTCAGTTTTTTACAGAAACCCAAAGGTGACGACCCTTTGAAAAAAGTGATTTTACAAAAGCAGCGGTTAAAAACACCACGCAACCTTTCAGTTTTCTCCGACTAAATAAAGGGAAGGATGTTAACTCGGGTGATGTCAGCGAGAAGGCTCATGAGCTGAAGAGTGTGGAGGATGAGGAAGGAGCATCTTAAGGATTAGCACTGAAAGAGGAAACAGTCAATAATATCACTTCTGCTTTTGTTACTGTTAACTGTCATTGTGTGTGTGTGTGTGTGTGTGTGTGTGTGTGTGTGTGTGTGTGTTTAGCTCTGTTGACCTGAGTGTGGACTGATTGTGGACGTACTGTGAGGACGTCTTGTAACATTTTTACACCACATTTTTGTATTTTTAATATATTTAGTCTGAAATGTATCGTTATCTTTTATGTGCTCAGGGAAAAGAAAACTCCCTAAAAACACAATATTAGTTGAGAAATATGAGATCACATTCCTGGTGTGCAGCAGCGTGAGTTCATCGCACTGCCTGCAGTTTCAAGAAGGTTTATCCTCTTCTACTTCACCTGAGTAGTTTTATTGATGTGTAATTATGAAGCAGTAAAACAATCCTGCAGAGGGAATGCCATGCTGTGAGGTGTTGGCACCGTGGTCCAGGCAAAAGGCCAAAGGAGCAACTTACACCTATCGACCTCAGTGGGGAGGTAGTAAAAAGCATCATAAAGCTCCTCTCATTTCTAATCGCTCACACGCTTTCAAACACTTCGGCTCTGTATCTTTTTCCACCTCACACAGACGCACACATCAGCATCGTCCCAACCATAATGGATCTGGACACTTATGTTACTAATGCACTTTTATAAGGCAGCAGCAGGTAGAGCAGGGTGTGTGTTTGTCTCACTTTGTGTGCATCCTGTACTGTACTGCATGCATACATGTGTACATGCATGCATACATGTGTATATGTATGTGTACATGCATGCGTATATGTGTACATGCATGCATACATGTGTATATGTATGTGTACATGTGTGCGTATATGCGTACATGTGTACATGCATGCATGCACACATGTGTATGTATATACGTATATATGTGTGTGTGTATGTATATATGTGTGTGTGTGTGTATATGTGTGTGTGTGTGTATATGTGTGTGTATGTATATGTGTGTGTATGTGTGTGTGTGTGTGTATGTGTGTGTGTGTGTGTATATATGTATATATGTGTATATGTATATATGTGTGTATGTATGTATATGTGTGTGTGTATGTATATGTGTGTATGTATGTATATGTGTGTATGTATGTATATGTGTGTATGTATGTATGTGTGTATGTATGTATATATGTGTGTATGTATGTATGTATGTATGTGTGTATATATGTATGTATGTATGTATGTATGTATGTATGTATGTATGTATGTGTGTATGTATGTATATGTGTGTATTTATATGTGTATGTGTGTATATATGTGTGTATGTATATATGTGTGTATGTGTGTGTATGTATATATGTGTGTGTGTATATGTAAGTGTATATGTATGTATGTGTGTGTATATGTGTATGTATATATGTGTATGTGTGTGTATATGTGTGTATGTATAT